TAATAAGAAGAATAAAAATATAAAAGAGAATGAAGGATGAATTTGATTAGTCTACATATGAAGAAAACCGTATTTGCCTTATATATAGATGGGATCAGATTAGATACTCCTCTGAATTTTGCAATGAATTTTGGGATGGAAAAGGTGTGTAAAACTGTATATTTTATGGGGAAACGCATACAAAAATACTAAAAGAGGAGGGGACACTCTGAAAAGCACACAAAATGCCTACCTGTCTACTGTCTCCTCTTCTGACACTCTGTGTGAGGGGAATTACCAACTTGTGGTGGGAAGTCAAGGGAATCTTAACTTTTCTGTTTACAGAAGCTCTTTCAGCTTTCATAGGATGCTGATTCTACTGGGCTTATTAAATCCAACACTGAGATATTTTCATTAAGAAAATGTGCTTCTTAATGAAGGGCCTATATTAATAAGACCCAATTGGATGACTATTTCTGGTAACGGGTAAGTAAGGCATAAAATACAAGAGGAGGAAAATTGGAGGGGGGGTGTGAGGGAAAAAGTATTTCTAGGCGAAATGTGCTTTTCCCTGGATCATTGTCTGACTCTGCCCTGAGATTTGTGCTGTGCTGATTCAGCCAGGCTCCTCTTAGGTGGGTGTTGATGTTGTTGTTGTTAGCATCTTCCAGGAGAATTCATGCTTCCCTGTAAGACATTATGAGAGACAAGATACACATCTCCTAGGTTAGAACTTGCTAGGGAAATTCCCTATACCATCTCTAATGCCATCTCAAGCCCCCCCCCCCCTTTTTAAAGAACTCTCAAATGTTTTAAAAATCTTGATGGAAGAAACAAGGTAAACACAGGAAAATGAGAACTGGCAAGTTTGAATGCTGAGAACAAACTTTTTGCAAAAGCAAACTTTAAAGGTGACTAGCATGGAAACCCCTTGAGCAACTCACCTGAATTTGGCAGGGTCAATTCCCCTCTGTATGGTCTACCATTTCGACAAAGTTCACATCCCTATGTGGGGGAAAAAAGATATGTCCATTTTAATTTCAAAAACATTTTTAGCTTTAAAGGTGCTTTGAAAGGTGAAAACCCCTGGAGCTACACTTCTGAAATACTGTAGGGGCTAACATGTCCATGAATTTCATACCCCTATGTTAAAAAAAAAAGGCAAGAAGGTAATAACTATATCCAATTTGCAATGGAAGTCAATGGGATACCCAGATATTTGTAAAACCTGGATTCAGATGTGGATTTGGATCTACATTGAGTTGGAATGGGTCCGGCTTGGGCTCAATCCACATTTACAAATTGGAGTCACAAATCAGATTGGGAGGGTCCATGCACAGCACTGTAAAATGCATGGGCTGCAAATTGTGCCCTAACCCTGTTTTAGAACTTTGGCAGGGTCACTTACCTAGAACCTACCCTGGAAACTTCTGCAACAAGACCCTTAAGAGTTCTTCTGAGATAAGCTGGTGCAGAAATCATCATCATTGTCATCATCATCATCAGTGCTTTTTTCTGGAGGTACTGAAGGATATGAAGTACCAGGACATTTTCTTTTTCAGATGTTAAAAGAGTGGCACTGTAACAACGTCATGGTGAGTAATGGCACCTTTTTATGATGATAATAATCATAATTAATAAATAGCAATTTTTGACCCAAAAACACCCAAAGTGGCACACTATATGCTATAATAAATGGGATTAAGTCAGTGGTGGTATGCTAACTTGATCTCCATGTGATTAAATCAACACTAGCTTTCTTTGGATCCAACTCTATTCCCCTCCCCCCATTAATAAACAACAACACATTTCCTACAGGTAGTAAGTTTGAAAACCACTGGACTACTGCAGGATGAGAACTTGTCCTCTGTAATGATGGTAACCACAGCAGGCACCACAATGACAAAGAATCAGGCTGCGTGAAGCAACTTTCTGCCCTAAGCAGTCAAATCCATGAGGAATGGAGCCACCATTGCTGAACCAACAAGGTCCCTGCTTGGGGTGAGGAAGAAGAGACTAATTTTTTATTGCAAGACTCCACATATCTCCAGCTGCATTCCAGGGGCATATCCATCACAATGTAGGTGGCGGCAGGAGGGGGAACAGGAGAGAAGGAGATCTGTCATATTTCCCCGAGGGCAAAAAGGGTGAAGATGAAAAGCAATTGAGGAAGGAGAGTAAGCCAGAGAGAAGCACCCATGAAAGATCCTTTCATTACCGGGGATAGACCTGCTTCTTGCTCAGGCTGAGTGTGCTGTCACATAAATACAGCAGCCAATGGGTTGTGGTAGTGCCAGCCCAGGGAAGGAGAGGCTTTTGAAGGAACATTTCGACCTTGTAAGCCATTGCTCAAAATTACTGCCGTGAGGTCCTGAGCTGCTATGATCCAGGCATTATTTATCGCCCGAGGATGCCGATTCCATCTCCTTGGAGGTGTTCTGAGGCTTAAAGGAAAGGTTGTTAAGGTAACTAATGTCAAAAATAAAACCCGCAGGGCACATGCCCCCTCCCCACCAAAATCCGCAGCTCAAAAGCAGGGAAGCGGATTGTGGCAAGCTATTTACTCACAACAAAGACATACACTAAGATAATAAAGGGCTTATCCACACTTACCTTTCCTCCACTCTTTCCAGGCACGATCATGCTTTAAAGCTCAGTGTTCTCCCTCTTTTCTTTTCTTTTCTTTTCTTTTGCTCCAGAGCATCTCAATTCTTGAGATTTCAGGGCCCAAACCTGAGACCAAAGGAGGCCTCTGTTGAAGTCACAGTGCTCAGGTCCTGGTCACATCCTTAAGCAGGACACATTAAGCATAGTCACCAAGAGCACATCATTCAAATAAAAAAACACAAAGCTTTTAAAATAGGAAAAATGCCACTGGTTGGACATTCAGAAACCCTAGCTAAAGGGGGTGTTCCCGGTTACAGGTAGGTAGCCATTTTGGTCTGCCGTAGTCGAAACAAATAATAATAATAATAAATAAAATAAAATAAAATAAAATAAAATAAAATAAAAAATAAAATAAAATAAAATAAAATAAAATAAAATAAAAAATAAAATAAAATAAAATAAAATAAAATAAAATAAAATAAAATAAAATAATAAAAAAGTTCCTTCCAGTAGCACCTTAGAGACCAACTAAGTTAGTTACTGGTATGAACTTTCGTGTGCATGCACACTTCTTCAGATACCTGGAGTGTTCCCAGGAGCTGAAATGAAGGAACCCTTGCTTCTCACCTGCTTAGGGAGCCTGGTTAGGAAGATTTTAATCTAAACTATTTGCTTCTGGCCAGAATGGTTTAAGTTCTTCTGCTAGGCTGAAGCTTGCAAGCTGCATGTGCAGTCTTCAGGCAATCCTAAGTCTGATAAGTATGTCCACAGATGCATCAATGTATGCAACTCTGAATACAGAATGTTCAAATCCTTATCTGAAATATTTATAAATCACTTTCATGTCAAAAGATCCCTAAGTGGTGCACTAAAATAAAAAATAAAAATGAACAATATGATATAAAACAATGTTTAAAGCAAGTCTGTACCATTACAGTGACAATAATGTCAATGGCTGGCATCAGTCCTCTGGGAAAGCTTACAGAAACAAAACGAAAAAGGTTTTCAGATGATATCGGAAGCTCATTATTGGTGGTGCATGTCTTATATCAGTGGGGAGAATGTTCTATATAAGAGAAACCATGATGCTGAAGGTCTTTTTCTAGGGACCTCCACAGCAGACCCCAGGAGCATGAGACTCCACCAGGAAAACCTCAATGACTAGGCAAGTCCATGTATTGGGGCAGGGGACAGAGGAATGTGGGACCCAGAGGTATTCTGAAGAAATGAAGATAGTGGCTGGTTGGGTGGCAGTGATTTGCTTTGTACTACATCCAGCCAACCACATGAGGAAAAAAAACATTTTTTTTTTTAATTAGGAGGTGGCAGGGACCCTTGTGGGCCCCAGGGGAGATGTTCATGAGTTCCACACTGGGGGAAATGGGTATAGGCAATATGGATTTAGATGGTCCATGGTCTGACTTAGTAAAAGGCAGTTGCCTTTGCTCCTAGGCCAGCGTGGAGCATTCAGGCAAAATATTGGTGGTTGACTGGGTTTCATGGAGTCCTGTTGTCCTTTGCAAAGCATCGTATTAAATATAAGTAGCCATTTCCTCAGTAACGCACCATAAAACCTTCCAGCTATGGGCATCACGGCAATGGTAAACCTGCTCCTCTCTGATTTATGGGGCTCCAGTTTTTGTGAGCATGCGGGTGACAATAAAACATTTGTGAAGAGAAACAAAATAGATTGCAGATAAGCCACTTCATGCATGAATTATAGAAACACAGAAACATAGAATTGTAGAGTTGAAAGGCAACCCCAAAGACCATCAAGTTCAACCCCCAGCAATGCAGGAATCACAGCCAAGGAATCCCTGACAGACGGCCATCCACTCTATTTTAATACCTCCCGAAGGAGTCCATTCCATGGTTAAACAGCTCTTCCCCTCAGAAAGTTCTTCCTAATGTTGAGTCAGAATTTCCTTTCTTGTAATTTGAATCCATTGGTACGGACCCTACCCTCCAAAGCAGCAGAATAACAAGCTTGCTTCATCTTCCTTGCAACACCCCTTCAGATACTTCTCAGTCTTCTCTTTTCCAGGCTAGAAATATACTCAGCTCACTCAACTGTTCCTCATAAGACTTGGGTAGAATCTACACACACATTAAAAAAAACGCTATGAACATGCTTTTTTTTTATAGATAGATATATATATATATATAAACTTTTTAAAAATATTTTGAATTTGCCATAGCTCACCATTGCCATCTAGTGTACCCTTTGTATACTGCACTTTATAACACACTTAAAATGTTTTATTTGCAGCTGTATAGCTGAGTCCTTGGTTTCCAGGCCCTTTATCATCTTGGTCGCCCAAACGCTGGACTAGAATCATAGAATTGTGGAGTTGGAAGGGATCTGGAGGGTCATCGAGTCCAGCCCTCAGCAATGCAGGAATCCTGCTCACAGCGGTCTCTAGGTATGCTTGAACCACCAACCTTCTGGTTAACAGCCAGACCTACTGGCCCATTGCGCCACAGGAGGCATTCTTATGCTATAGCATCCTTCTATAGGGGCTTCAGGGAGGTGGGGATAGTGGCACCTACTGGCAACCCCAATTCCCCCCCCCCAACCCCCTTGATGTAGCAATGGTGGGGTCTGCATGATAAAGATGGCAGGTAGAAGAAGCTAGAAAAAGCTTTGCTGCCACCTGCTGATATACCAGCCGTGAGAGAAAGAAAAGGTAAGCTAGCCAGGGGATGCCTTTCCCACTTTTCACCTTCCTTATTTGAATCCAAAGTTTTCATGTGAGGAATTTTGGCTCAGTCTTAGTGTACAGTGGTGCCCCGCAAGACGAATGCCTCGCAAGACGAAAAACTCGCTAGACGAAAGGGTTTTGCGAGTTTGTTTCCTTTTTCTTAAAGCCGCTAAGCCGTTAATAGCCGCTAAGCCGCTAAGCCGCTAAGCCGTTAATAGCCACTAAGCCGCTAATAGCCGTGCTTCGCAAGACGAAAAAACCGCAAGACAAAGAGACTCGCGGAACGGATTAATTTCGTCTTGTGAGGCACCACTGTATAAACTCAGTACACTACTTTGTCTCTAGTAAGCATTACAGGGCTTAGTGCAAGCCTAGTTCGTTCTAGCTTGGTTATGGAAGGAAGGCTTATGGGTTCTTTATGCAGCTTCTAGTAAAATTCCTCTGGGGCTTGACTTTGAAATTTGTGAGAGCACAACCCCAGAATTTAGTTGGTCTGAAATTCCTCTACAGCTCTACCGCTCACTCACTTTCAGTCTGACTTCCCCCACATCCCTTCATGAGGACTTGAAACTTGGTTTTAAAAATATACAGAGCCAGGGAATCTGTGCAGCGAAGCGGCAGGTGCGTTCAAGTCGCACAAAACAGATTGCTGGTGCCCACAGCCCATCTTCCTTCCGTTTTTCCTTGTTAAATATCATTTAAAATAAATTAAGCTGAGCCAATACCTTTGTAATATCTCACTTTGCACTGGATTATTTAATAACTGTTAGTGTCATTCATAATAATAATTGGAATAGCCAACATGCAGTTCTAATTGCCTTAAATGTTACTTATTCATTATTGCATCCACAATTTACTAGACTCATTTAAAGAGAGGAGAGAGTATTGTACCCTTGGAGAAATAATCCAAATATATGGTTCTCTGGCACAGTCTTTCTTAATAAATGTACTCCACAGCTTGTCACATGCAATAGAATGAGTTTGGGCCAGTGAGGCAGCAGCTGCTGCAGCGCGTGCTTTTCTTTTCCCTCTTTGTCCATCTTTTCTTTTGTATCATGCCTTATCAGATTGTGAGCTCGCGGAAAGGGCTTATCTTTTAATATATGTACATCACTTACAAAATGTCAGATGCTGCGATGCTGGTAATGATAAATAAACTTGACGTAATATAGAGCGTACTTAACATGAGCAAGAGCCATGCAATTCAGCCCTGCAACTTGCTGATTGTAGATGAGATGAGTCAGCAGGAGGTTAGCTGACCTTGAGGAGTCAAATTGTTCTGGGTTAGCCGACCAGCAAAAGCTTCATATAGGTGTGGTCAGGGGTGTGCAAAAGTCATGTTGGCAAAATGTGCATTTTACAATTCCAATTGGGAGAAAGCTGCACTCGCAGAGCACAGGTGATGCTGGATTTCAGCATATATGTTAGCCCTTGTGGAAAGATAACTGCACAGGTAGGAGAAGTGATCAACATTTTCCAACGTTACACCGTTAAGTTGGATTTGTGGCGCCACAAAAGGGCGTGTGGATCCAGAATTGGCCTCCACAGTCACTTATGGACTCACTGTTAAAACTATGTTCATGGAAGACCATCTTACTCAGCTACGAGTAAAGAAGAAGAAGTTACAATTCTGGTATTACATTTAGAAATCATCCTACTTTAAAAATACACATTCAGTAGTACATAAGAACATAGGATAAGCTTGCTGGATCAAGCCAGTGGCCAGCCTAATTCAGCATCCCGCTCTCACAGCAGCCACATGGAAGTAGGACCTGAGTGCAACACCACAATTCTCTCCTACAGTTTTCAGCAACTAGCATTCAGTGGAGGTAGAACATATCCATCACATTTAGTAGCCATTTATAGTCTTTTTCTCCTTGACTTTATCTATTCTTTTAATTCCATCCAAGTTAGTGGCCATCACTGCCTTCTGTGAGATTCATCCCTTCCTGCAGCCCCATCAGATTTTAATTAAAGTGTGGTATTTTTTATTTTTTTGTAAGTGGCTCAGTCTCTCTTCTCAGGAGAAGCTGCAGCAATAATCCACTGTGTGTATTGCATATAAATGCTTTGTGTACTGCTGACATCTTAGGCATTTGCTGCTACCTGCCTTGTGAGGGATTTATGCAAGAGGCACATTCATCCCCAGGAGGATTTTAAGCATCTTGGGATCATCACCGTTCCGTTACCTCTTCAATTGAGTGTTTATTGATTATTCAATTGAAGGTGTGCTTCATTGTGACCAATTTATATCACTTAGCTTGCTTTATCTGCTTTAGCTAATCAGTGTTGCCATTAATGTGATCTTTCCCTACATGGTTGAGTTCAAATGAAGATTATGCACCACTTTCAAAATTAGTGGTTTTGTTTGGCTTAGATGCCTTTGCGATGGCAAATATTTAAATGGGAACTTTTTCAGGAATAGTCCTTGTTTTCTTGCAACTATTTTTTTATGGATGCTTGTAAATTCTCTTTGTTCACATTTATGCCTGGAACTATCCATTTTTGCAATGGAACCATTGCATATGTCATCCTTTCTCAGTTTGGTGTCCCCCAGAGCTTTGGAACTCCAATTCCCATCAACCCCAGCCATCAGGACCAATCTAGAGGACACCAGGTTGGAGAAGGCTGAACTAGAAAGCTCCCAGCCCCCATTGTTTTCCATACTTAAGTACTGAGCACTTGTGCCTGAGCTGTGCTGTACATAGCTTTCATTTCATTTAGTTCATTTGTGCCCTTATGTACCTCCTTTTCTTTGCTGACGTGCCTCTATGTGTTGATAAGAAACTGCTAAAAAGCGACCCTGATGGGGCAAATGTACAGTTGTATTGAGATTCCTGTGTGCTAATGAGCTCAGGCTGCATCAGTATAACAGTGAAAAGAACATAGAAACATAGAAAACTGTCTTGGAGCTCCCTTTGATGAGCATTTATCCTGATTTGCTTGCAGAAAGCTTACACAGAGGATATATTATATCCAGTCTTATAACAATAATTCTGAGAAACAATAAACCAAAATTATTCTACTTACTTTGCACAGCACACAGTTCAGCTGTGGAACACAGACCAACAGGAGGCAGTGATGGCCTCCAACTTTTAAAGGGGAGATCGGACCAATTCATTGTCATAAAGGCTATTTGCAGCTACACCTTCCTCTAATGCTTTGGCCAGGCTGAGATGTGTCCTTGAATTATGATAATCCCTCCTACTTGCCTGGATATGAAAGGGTGAGTTCTGACTTTTGAACAGCTGAAGGGTAGCCTGCTGATGCGAAGGTATCAAATCCCTTCCATTGCTCTGCCTACAGTTGCCTCTCGCCCTTGGCAAATGGCCCCTGGAAGTTCAGTTAGGAGGGAATGCCGCCCTTTGGGCTGAAAAGGTTCTCCATCCCTGACCTGAAGGGAAAGAGGAGTCCGCAGAAAGAGGATTAGAAAGAAAACTCAGGCTGTGGGCGAAACTGTAGGCATGGGATGGGGTGGCGGCAGGGAGGAGGCGGATGGAAGAGGCACTTTCTTTTTCGTTGTAGGGCTTCATTAACTCCCCATCACATCCCCACCGCCTAGTGAATAATGGCTACCTCTAACACAGAAATATGTACTGCACTCGCCGCATTAAGCAAGGCCTCTGTGTGTGAATGTCTCCCACAAGCAGAACTAATAAAAAGACTAAAGAGAGTGCCGGATCCAAGGCTGATAAATGGCCTATGGAGGAGATGCTCTTCGAAGGGGCTTGTTTTTCACATTCCTGGAGATTGATCAAGGGCAGATTAGAAATCAGCTGACCTCTTGAATGCCTTTGGAGGCAGTGGCTCTCCAAGGGTTTTTTTGCCCCTTCTTCCTGAAGGCTAACCAGGGCAGGATTGGGAGGAGGGATGATTACATGGCACCAGCAGAGGACACTGGCACAGTAGGACTGTCAACCCACTGCCAGATAGTTATGGTTAGCATGGCCACTGAGGCATCTTCAAAATCCCAGCATCAGAGATGCAGTGTCACCAGAAAGAGGACAAAAGAGGTCAGTGGTTTGCATAAGATTTGTATATGTACATCTGTATATATGTGGGGATTACCTGGATCCCCCCAATCAGGAACATGGCCCCCTAGAGTGCAGGGGATGAGTTAGACTCAGAGAGTGAACGAGGAATCGACTCTGCAGATGAGAATTGCCTGACAGAATCTATAAAGGGTTGTCTGGCCCCCCTTCACAGGGAAGACTCTTTTAGCTCTCAAGAAGAGGGAGAGTTGGAAGGCAGCCAGGGTTTTGCTAGGCAATCAGCAGATAAGCAGGAATCTGAGGCTGGGTCGAGTGAGAGTGGGGAGGAGATGGACTGTCAGCCTCTCAGTCCCCGATCTAGACATTGGGATAAAATCAGATGGCAGCAGAAGGGCAAGAGGAAAAAGGCAGGAGTCTGGTGTCCTTCCTGCTGTGGGAGCAGCAAAACTTCAGACTGCGCAACAAATGTAAATTTGAGCAGGTGAGAAGCCGGGCTTGGGATGTGTCTTTTTGTAAATAAACGTGCATAAACTTTCCGGGAGTCATTATTTCTTTTTGGAGGCTTGCTTGCCTGCCAGAGATCATTGTGCACCCCCCCCCCAATATTTTATTCAAGATGGTACCCCTATCCCTGCATGCATATCCCTCTTAATTCCAGTCCAGGGTTGTAAACAATGCTAGTCCTACTCAGAGGAGACCCATTGAAATGAATAAATGCCAATAGAGGTCCATAAATGCTAATAAATTAATAAATTCCAACACTTTTGTTGAGTACAACTCCAAATAAATTTCTCA